GCGATCATCCCCCTTGCGCGGAGTGAGGGTTCACCCCGCACAACATGATTTACTCAACCATCATTATGATTACTGCCCAAAAAAAAAACGGAGGAAAAAAAAAAGAACGGTAACCTGGTTGCCGAGTTCACGAAGTGAATTGGCTTGTTTGACAACGTCGTTGCCAAGCGACGAAAACCCAATCCCGATAGGCAAACACCGGAGGGGGGGGGGTGTACTCATAGTCGTGCATGCCGTAGTCGTTAGACCATTGACCTCGCATCCCTACAAAGCCGGGACGGAGCACGCCGGGTTCTCACCGGACCAGGCTCTCACATCACCATCATTGCATCTCTGGATGATCACTCTTCGTTTGTTGAGGTGCAGCACCTCCATCATTTTATGTGTCACAATTCCATTCCCGCTGCGCACAGCTCAAGCCCTTCTCGCGCTACAATTGGAGTAACCAATCTTGGCGTGACTTGTGTTTGACCGAAGACCCCCCTTTCCCCCTTCTCCTACCCCTTCGCCGTGAACCCCTGGATTTTACGCAGTGATGGGGATTTTCATCCCCATATGTCCCTGCCACGGTCCTGAATTTCTACTTGATCCTGTTCTTGACGACCAGATTCGGGACGGCCGTGTGGATCACGTAGGTTGACATTCCTGATGTTGGTATCGAGGGTAGTCTCTACCAGAACTACTCTACACATGTTTGAGAGGAGCGTTGCCAGCGTCAAGGTTTTGACCATGAAAGCATGCAGGCTTAGGCCGGAGACAAAATTGTGCTTGTGTCTATTTCTTCAAGCCCATTGCACCCAGGGAAAGATAAGGTCCCCTGGTACAGGACGCTTGAAACTCGAAACCGAAATGGTGCCACCCACAGTAACCATGAAGAAGAAAATTTTGCAATAAAATATTATCATTAAACCGGCTGAGTGGAGCGTTTATCGATGCTACGTAACAAAGATATTGCTCTGCTGTCCACCGCTTTGTGCATGCCGGTGTTTTCGCACCCTCTCGGACCATAATATTCGTCAGCAACATTCAGCCAGTGAGGAAAGTGTTACAAAGGAGAGCAGACCATCCAATCAACGCAGGTGGAATCGCCTCCCTCTTCCCCTATGTGCCTTGGACGACACGCAGCGGCGCCGTGGTGATCGACGTGATGAATGAAAGCAAGGTTTTTTCAAAACCATCGTCTTCGAAATGCATCAGCGTGAAGTTGGATGATAAACTGGAAGAAATTCTGCGTTTTCCTCCGCTTCTCGAGGCGTTCGGCGAGTTCTGCCGTAAGGCGCTCTGCAGCGAGGTGAGACTTAGTCTACCCCTCACATTTCCGCTAAGGAGTGCTAGTTCATGGTGGTATTCCACACAAGGCCGACACTATCAGGGCGACACTTGAAAGCCTCACCTTCATTGATCTCTACTTCATGGGACAAGACCTTCCAAACTTAGCAGCGAAGAAACCCTCTACTACATGGGACAAGACCTCCCGGTTGCTTCAGCCGATGCACCATGTAAGGAACTGGCGGTGGGTCCCATTGAGCTTCTTGTTGTGCTCCGCTGTTAGACTCCACGAGGCGCACCCATACAGGAGAGTCTCCACCACTTCAGCCGGGAGTCGCCGGATCTTGAGCTGGCGATTGGCCCGTCGCCTGCCGTACATCGAAGCACTGTTCCGGCGGTAGCACTTTCACGCTCGGCAGCTGCGGCTCGTGATCTCCCGGTCGGCCTTCCCGTCCGCGGAGATGGTACGTCCGAGGTACACACACCGATCTGTCTGCTTGTACGTCTGGCCGGCGGCGCTGACCGTGAACGGGCGTTCCTCGATCCCTTTCGGCAGCATGCACATGATCTCCGTCTTTGGCTCCGATACCATCAGTCCGAACAGGCCGGCCACGCGCACGATGACCGACATCAACTTCTCGAGTCTCTCCGGCGAGCGCGAGACGAAGGCCGCGTCGTCAGCGTAGAGCATGGCCCACAAGGCC